AATCATGCCCAACTCTAAGGAAAGATGCATGCCCCCCGCAGAATTTTCTTCTCCTTAAAATAAAAACTGAATTTGCTGTCTTGAATCTTTTCCCCCACTCATTAGTTTAGTCTCTGGCGTTCTCATCATGGATGTTTCATAACGTACGCGATAGGACAACATATACCATTCTCTGGTTTGTTCTGTACCCTTTAACCAACTCTCTTCCCCTGCCCCCACAATTCAAGGACGTTCTGAGAATTTTCTAAGGTAAAAATAAAACTTCAAGGAATTTCCTATCTTCCTTTAAAGACTGTATTATTCTATAAACGCCCCAGAATCTGCTTTTGTTAGTGCAGACCCAGACTGAACTGGAGACCACCAGGTGAGCACCCTGTCGGTGATCCCCATCAGCAAGATCCTGCCCAGGCACATCGCCTCTTAGGGATTTAGTTTCCTCAGCTGGAAAATGAAGAGCTTTGTCAAAAACCCTGTCCACTTTTCCAAAAGATAAGCACCTATTTTAAAATATCAAAGCATCAAGATTTTAATAAAAGAAAGATGGTAAACAACCAGTGGAGACATCTGAATTATTCACTGAAAGACAAAACCCCAAACAACTCAGCTACCAAGTTTTCAAGGCACAAATAAAGCAAAAATTCTAACTAATACCCCCAACTACTTGGAGATGTGTTAGTAATTTTTATTTTGGCAAAGCAAACATAAGCATGCAACATTATCATAAATCACAACCATTTAAAATCTATGTAATTAGTTGTGCAGCACATGCAAGGTAACAGCAAACACTGTTATTTAGCAAAATATTTCCCCTTCCAAGACTGGGCCTTGCAGAGCAGTCTCTTTCTATTACTCCTGGCTAAAGTTGTAACTAATTAGAATTTGGGATATAATGTTAATTGGGTCAATGTGGTAAAAGCTATCATGCCATGGCAGTGATGTAAGGCTCTTTCTTTCTAGGTGGGATTAAAGGGATACAAGTTTTATGTTTTCTTAAAGCTTTCCAAAAGGTCAATATGGGGGCAGCGATAGGTTGACATTTAACATTTGGATTGCATTCAGTAAATCACCATCTGAATATTTCAGGAATTTAATAAAACAAGCACAGAATTATTAACAATGTTCTTCATTATTATCAAGAGTGATATTAATAGCAAAAAGAAAAAAAAGGTATGTTTTACCAACTATTAAGATGCTCAGTGGTCTTGGCTTTGGATAGTAACTTGTGAGTTTGAGGTGAAAGTCACTATATTCTATTTCAATTCCCCAGACTCTCCTGTACTCCCGATACCAAAAGGAAATTATGGCACTGGGGAACTTTTCTATTTACCTCACTACATAGAGGAGCTGTTTTTCTCTGAAATAATTGATGTTTTCTCAAATCTGTTAATCACTGCAAAATCAAAGCCAAGATCTAGACTTACCCCAAAACTGACATTGCTCAAAAGAGATCAGTAATAAATGCTTCCATGTTTTAACTGAATCATGTGCGACAAAACAACATACAACTATACATTATGCATTTAATAGAAGCCGATGTTACAGAAATGGCTTAAAACAGGAAAGGGAGTATGCAACTCTTTTGAATTAAATATTTGCAAGTCTAGATAAAAATTAAATTTCTGCTATTCTCATTTTAGTGGTTTTCCCCCCACAGTTCCACAGAAGGTGGTTTATTGCTTTTAGAACAAAATAAAATGATTTCAGAACTTTTGTTAGTGAAGAAAAACTGTCAGAACTTGAAAACTTTTCTAAAACATTGTTTTGTCAGTCAATGGAAGCAGGCACTTCAACACAGAAAACTTCCGGCTTGCAGCTGTGTGGAGCGCCCGCTATCCGGCTTGATACAGCTAGGGGCTGAGAAGCGGGGCTTGGCTCACAGCCCCTGTCACTGTCCTGAGCATCAGGGCTGACCTCCTTTTTTTTTTTTTTTTTTTTAAGATTTTATTTATTTATTTGACAGAGAGAGACACAGTGAGAGTGGGAACACAAGCAGGGGGAGTGGCAACACAAGCAGGGGGAGTGGCAGAGGGAGAAGCAGGCTTCCCGCCGAGCAGGGAGCCCGACGTGGGGCTCGATCCCAGGACCCCGGGATCTGACCTGAGCCGAAGGCAGACGCCTAACGACTGAGCCACCAGGGCTGACCTCCTTGCCCCGGCTCATGCGGAGCTCCTTCTCCAGCACCCGCTCCAGGCTCTTCCTCACCACCCCACCCCTCGCAATCCTGTGCAGAACCGCATTTAGGAGTGTTTGTTAGGTGTTGTCTATGGGGCATGCAGGAGGTCAGGCTACTACTGGGGCAATGCAGGCCAGCATCAGCTCATGGGAGCCTGGCACTATCCAAGGAGAGCCAGAGATCCCATGCCCAGTGCTACCACTTCACACCCTAGTCCGGCTGTGGGCTCAGCAGGCTTGCTATAGACCAAGTGGGGGCTCCCAGCAACTACAGATGTCTGAGGCAGGAAAACAAAGCTGCCAGTTCATGGCAGCCCCGACAATGATCCCTGGGGGCTGATCTTGGCCTCCAACCCTGGCTGAGGAGAAAAGGGAGCTCGCTCCAACCCCTTCCCCCCGCCCCATGCATAGCCTCATGAGAGAGAAGCCCTGCATTTTAGCGTTCTTGTTGATATAACTCTCATAAATTTACACTTGCAATGCAAGAGCTCTTCTTAAAAATAAATATTAAAGGATGCTAATTCATTGGAGTTGCAGTAGAGGTCCCCCCCCACCCAAATTTCTAAGAAGTCTACACTTGTTTTCTCCATAAATAAATTCTGATTTGTTGAATAAGTTAAATGATTCATCATCTTTACTGTTTGATTGTGAACATTAATAAATGCCCTATCTTTGCATAAACTCCCAAATAAATCTAAATATGGTCAATTGTTGAGTTTTCATGCAAATGAAGAAAGCAGTTAGAAATAAGCCTATGCTTATTTCCTTTCAGCTAGGGACTTAATGCATAGTATATGTATTTATTTTTGGTCCAGGTTTATTGTCTTAAGATAATATTAAACCTGAGTTATAATTTCTTAGCAGAAAACAAATGATGCTAAAAGACTGGGAAAAGGAGAAGGTCATTTAAAGTCTTCTAGCTGGCAGGAGGGAATCAAAGTACAGCTTAAAAGCTGGCTGGTCATCGTTTGCAGAATGCATGATTCACATACAGATAATTCAGTGTGGGGTTAGCAACTTCTGAGAGTAGACACTGGTTAAATCTGAAGTAGGAAATGGAGCTTAGTTCTTTGGCTTTCTAATAGGATCATTGGAAATGAAACTGGATAGGAGATGAAATTGATTCAAAGAGTCAAGACTGAAATTTTCACAGACTAATATTTATTTTGTATCTACTATACGTGAGCTACTATGGTATTAATTCTCACCACCAATGACACTGTAGGTACTATTACTTTCCTTCCTTTATAGATGAAGAACCTAAGGTCCACAGAGGTTGAGCTATTGCCAAAGGTCAAGTTGCAAGTGGCAGAGACAGATGTGAATTTGTCTGGCATCAAAGTTCATGTTATTAATTACTAAAAATGGTGCCTCTCTTACTATGACAGAGGTTCTTAACCTGCTGTCCTAAATCTGCTGTCCATGGGGAGGTTCTAATACTACACTACACAAAATTTCGTATTAGTGTGGATTCCCCCCCACCCCCCAGTAAACCAGTAGTTTTATCAGAGATTCAAAGGGATGAACAGCCAAAGAAAGGTAAGAAACAATGGAGTGATGAACAAAGCCAAAAGAATTAATTTTTTAAAAAGCAAAGACAAACGTAAAGACATGGGTTTAAGTTTAAACCTACAAGCATACAGTAGCAGTGCCTGGGAAGAGAGCAGTAAAAAGCTCTGGCGTTTTAAAATATGGCAAGTTTGAAACGTATCACAGGGGGACTGAGTTCCTTGGGCAAGTTGGAGCAGTACGAGCTGAAGACAGGGCAGGGGAAGGGCACCTCCCCCGGGGGTCTGGGTTACTCGGGTCACACTGTGAGCACTGTGTTCTTCACAGCACCACACTTCAGGGCAATCCTGAGAAATGGAGTGAGGTCTGGGCAGGGGAAGGTGATGAGCAGGGTAGTGGGCACAGAAGCCCTACCACGTGAGAAAGAACTGCATGACCTGTCAGCAAGGGCTCGGAGCAGAACACACACAACAGTAGAAGCCTGTTCCATCCATCGAGCACAACAAGTCAGAACCAGAGGGTAGGACGAGGCAGAGGTCACCTTGGTCTATAATGGGAAGAACTGTCTAGAATACGTAACTGGTGATGCAATGACCACTGCAAGTGTTAAAGCAAAGGATGTCAGCAGTAACCAAAGCTGGGTTGAAGGGAAACTTCAAAAGGAGTCATCATAGGAATCTGTATGTTAAGAAATGTCCCTATAAAGTCCTGATGTAAAACGAGGTTTGTTCTGGCCGCTAGAAGACCATGCATCGGAAAATTCGTAAATGTTATTATTGCATTGGAAGGAAATGTCTCAGGAGAGGACCTTCACATTCTCTTAAATTTCTCAACACTGAGAGAAAAACCCATACTGCACAGCAACATTACACCATCATCTATGGAAGTGAATCCCTCTCAGGCAAACAATAGTATCAGGATGCATAATAAAAATAGAAAATAGAAACCTTAACAAAGCATGAATTCCCAGACTAATGACACATTTCTAAGATGTCTTTCAGAGACCTAAGTATTCTCCAGTGCTTCATAAATGCTAACCTTTGAAGATTTTCTGATTCACAAGGTGCAAAAAGAAAGATGCGTATGTCAGCAGGAGAGGAGAAATAACAGGAACTTCCGGGGCCGGTGGAGCAAAGTGCGCAGGTTACTGCTTTTCCCCAGAACCCAGCCTGAAAAAGTCAGGGACACTGAGCAAATACTATTGTTATCTAGGTCAGTCTTGCTGAGTTAGTGCTAGAGCTCTGTAAATACACATTCACACACACAACATTCTCTCCGTCCTCCCCGTTTCATATACTAAAGAAAACGCAAGTGCTTACTGTCATTTCTGAGGAAATTATTGAGCAGTTGGAAAAGAGGAAAACTATCCCAGGAGTCTTGTGGTTGGGCCTCCAGTGCAGTATCCATATCTACTGTGAATAAAGCCCAGAATTTCTCTGCATGCTCTGCCAATAAATCAGGCCACCAGGCAAATGCCTGTAAAAGGATAAAGAAACAATGCAAAATTAGATTACTTCTTAGAAACACACACAAATATTGTGCCACCTGAAAACGTCACTGAAAATGAAATTGTAGAATGTTGTAGAATAGGATACCACATTTTAAAATATTTCTACTCACAGAAAAAAGAGATATTAGAAATACATAAAATATCAGTAGTTATGCTTAAAATTATGAGATACTAAATTTTTTCTTGTTTTATGTATTTTTCATCTGTTCTAAATTGAACATGTATTTTTAACGTAAAACAATAAATGTCATTTTGCATTTTAATTCTATTTTAGATTTCATATTTCATTTAGTGCCAAATTTGCTTACTTAAAATTTGTGTATAAAATTTCTCCTCACATTCAAAAAAATATTACTTTTTATTTGTAGTACTTTTTAAAATAAATCTAAGGTCTAAAGCTCAAGTACACTTCCATAGTGTAGGGATAGAGAGGGATTTCCAGACCCTCCAATGTAAATTAGGTACTCTGGTAGGTAGGTAGTCTTATTAAGTCTTAACACAGTCTCTCTGATGCTCAGCATTTTAATTTCACAAGTCTTGGTATTGCACATATGACTACATATGTGAATATTTTAATTTCTGCCTCTTAAATTTAGGCTGTAAACACTACAAAGACAAGTCTGTATATGTTGTTTATTACTTTATACTCAGCTAGGTATTTTCTAATTCCTTTTAGGTAACGGCAGTAATCGCCTTAAAAAAATGTTTAGATGAATGAAAATAATATTTACTTTTTAGAAAGTTCTTGAAAACAATGTGGTCTGATGTGTGGATCAGAGCTCCAACACAACGTGCCCGTGGAACTTAGCAGCAGGCCCAACTTCCTGTGGTCCCTGCCAGCCAGCTGGCCCATAAACCCCATCAACTACAAAACTGCCAAATTGTTCCCTAAACTGCTAAGTAGATAAGCATGACTGTAATGAATAAGTTTAAGTTTTGTAAAGAAAAATCAAATCCAAATCAGATAACTCATACTGAAATATAAAGTTTTAAGTGTCTTTTTCCCTCAGATCTATTTGATTTATATAAAGGAGCAAACTATAATATAGGAAATTGTATGATTTTAAATGTGGCATACATTTTAAAAGTTGGTCCAATTAATTAAAAAGACCTTTAACAGACACTCAAGTTTCCTAAGAAATCCATATTTAGATAAATAGGAGAAGACATTTACAGTCAGCCAGAGCCTTTGCTGGGACTAATGTCAACAAAAAATTTAATATGGCAGTCTTGTATTTTAAGCTTGAGCTTTTGGGGATACATTCTCAGGTCTTCTTTAATGTGCAAACTGCAAATAGAACTGCCATTATATGGTAATGGGAGTTAAAGAATGTAGAGTTCTCGTGTAAAGATTAGAACATACTTTTCTCTTAGTCCTTCAAGGACAAACTTTCAAAATGTTTGATTCTACTAATCCCATCCTACAGTGAAGAGACTGATTACTCTTCACTTTATAATGTGGCTGGGCTATGTGAAATCGGGTATCAACTGATCAAGATGTGAATTTCAGTTACGGATGAAAACTGTCTCAATTCAACCTTTATTACCCTCCTCGTGAGTATGCAGGGTGTTAACAAAAGCTTTTTGTTTTTAATCATTAAAGGGAAAAGTATTAATAAGGACTATTATCAGAAAAATTTGTAATGGATACACAATACTGAAGAAGTAAATTCTCATATGAATAACATAATGTGTGTGTGGGGGGGTAATAAAAGTGTAGTGTTTTTGTATGTGATTAAATTTAAGTTGTTACCACTTTAAAATAGTGTTAAAAGGTCTGGAGTCCAGTTAAAAGGTAAATCCTTGCCTAAGAATAGTTACTTTAAGTGTAAATGTAAGCTAAATGCCCCAATCAAGAGACACAGGCTGAATAAATGAATAAAACAACAAGATCCAACTATATGCTTATGAGAGACTTTAGATTTAAGGACACACATAGGCTGAAAATGAAGGAATGGTAAAAGATATTCCATACAAATGGTAACCAAAAGAGGGCAGGGGTGCTTATACTTACATCAAACAAAACAGACTTTAAGTAAAAAACTGCCACAAGAGAAAAAGCAGGTCACTACATAATGATAAAGGGTCAATTTTCCAGCAAGATAAAACAATTATAAATATATATGCACACCACCTCATAGCACCTAAATATATAAAATAAACATTGACAGATCTGAAAGGAGAAATAGAAAGCAATACAATTACAATTACAAGAGAAGAATTCAATAGTACACTTTCAATAATGAACAGATCTCATCTGGATGGAAAATTAATAAGGAAACAGCAGACTTGAATAACACTATAGACCAAATGGATCTAACTGATAGATATAGAACATTCCACCCAGCAGCCGCAGACTGCACATTCTTCTCAAGCACACACAGAACAATACCCAGGATTGATCACATGCTAAGTCACAAAAAACTTAACTTTTGAAATCATCCCAAGTGCCTTTTCCAATAGCAGTGGAATGAGATTAGAAATCAGTAACAAAAGGAAAACAGAAAAATTCACAAATACATGGAGATAAACAAGACACTCTTAAAAGACCATTGGATGAAAGAAGAAACTTAAGGGAAACAGAAAGTATCTTGAGACAAACAAAAATGAAAGCACAACGTATCAAAATTTATGGGATGCAGTAAAAGCAGGACTAAGAAGGAAGTTTATAGCAATAAACACCTATATTAAAAAAGAAGAAAGATCTTAAACTACCATGTCATGTCACACCTCAAGAAACTAGAAAAAGAACAAACTTAGTCTGAAGTTAGGAAAAGAAAGAAAATAAGATTAGAGCTTAAATAAATGAAATAGAGACTATAAAACAATAGAAGAGATCAATGAAACTAAGAATTAAGTTTCTTAAAAATAAACAATATCAAAAAAACTTCTGACTAAAAAAAGACAGAAAATGCAAATAAATAAAATCATAAATGAAAGTGAGGACATCACAACCAATGCCACAGGAATAAAAAAGGGACCATTAACCATTGATTTCTTGAATATGACACAAAAAGCACAGACAACAAAAGCAAAAATACATAAAAAGGACTACATCAAACTAAAAAGCTTCTGCATGGCAAAGGAAACCATCAACAAAATGAAAAGGCAACTTATGGAATGGGAGAAAATATTTGCAAAAAGTTTATTTAATAAAGGGTTAATATCCAAACTGTATAAAAAAACTCCTACAACTCAATAGCATGAGAACCCCAAATAACCTGAATAAAGATGGGCAAAGACCTGAATGGACATTTCTCTGAAGAAGCCTAACGAATGGCCAACAGCTATATGCAAAAGGTCCTCAACATTATTAATCATAATTTGATTTTCAAATGCAAATCAAAACCACAATGAGCTATCATCTCACACCTAATTAGGATGGCTATTATAAAAAAAAAAACCCAAAAGGTAAGTTTTATTGAAGATGTAGAGAAAAGAGAAGTCTTGTATACTGTTGGTGAGAATGTAAATTGCTACAGCCACTATGATAAACAGTATGGAGGTTTCTCAAAAAATTAAAAACAGAAGTATCATATGATCCAGCAATCCCACTTCTGAGTTTACATTTGAAGGAGTTGAAATCAGAACCCTAAAGAGATATCTGCATTGCCACGTTTACTGCAGCATTATTCACAATAACTAAGACATGGAAGCAACCTAAATATCCATCAACAGATGAATGGATAAAGAAAATATGACATTTATATATAATGGAATATTTTTCAGCCTTTAAAAAAAGAAGGAAATCATGCCATTTGCAACAACATGGTTAAGCCTAGAGGATGTTATGCTGAGTGAAATACTCCAGACACAAAAGGACAAACACTACATGACCTCACTTAAATGAGGAATCTAAAACAGTCAAATCCCTAAGAGCAGAGGATAGAATGGTGGTTTCAGAGGGTTGAATGCCTGGGGGGAGTGTGAAACAGGGAGGTATTAGTGAAAGAGTACAAAGATTTGGTTATACAAGACAAGTCTTAGAGATCTACTCTACAGTATAGGGCCTATAGTTAACTGCATTTTGCTTAGAGGCTACATCTTGTATTAAGTGCTCTTATCACACCCACATAAAAAAGTAACATGGATTTCTCTGGCTATTCCATCTCAGTTTTGTTTTAATTTGCATTTCTCTAATTATGAATGAGTTTGAACACATTTTTCGTATGTATAAGGGCTCTATACTGTTTTTAGTGAATTGTTTTTCAGGTCTTTTCCCCCCTTAACATTTTTTTAAATTATTATTAAGTAAACTCTACACCCAACATGGTTTTGAACTCACGACCCCAAGATCAAGAGCCACATGCTCTACGGACTGAGCCAGTTAGGCGCCCCCTTTCTCCCCTTTTAAAATTTATCTTTTGCTGGTGTTAAAACTTTTTAACCAAATAACTACAAAACATTCACATTTCTGTGATATAGAAATTTATATTATTCATCCAATCAAAATTAATCACTTAAAAAAGGATTCATCATACTATAGCCAGAGAAGTCAACATTTACTTGCAAGAACTTTCTAAGAGATACATGGTTGTAAAACTTCATTTAATTTCTTCAAATGTAAATTACACTAAAACCACACAACAGTCAAACCACAAAACAAAATGGATTATAAAATATCAACACATTGGGTATTTTCTTTTTTTTTAAAGATTTTATTTATTTATTTGAGAGGAGAGAGCTCAAGGGGGGGGAGGGGCAGAGGGAGAAACCCTGCTGAGCTCGGAGCCTGATGTGGAGCCGGACACGGGGCTGGACACGGGGCTGGATGCGAGGCTCCATCCCAGGACCATGACCTGAGCCAAAGTCAGACGCTTAACCAACTGAGCCATCTAGTCACCTCATCAGGTTGGGTATTTTCTTAAAAACTTGTATCACAAGAATAATGTTCAATATATTAATAAAAAACATCACCATGTGATGAATTAATGGATGGCAATATAAGAAAATGTTGCCTATAGGA